TGTCCCCTGCAAGCCCCAGCTGGCTGTGCACGGGGGGAGGGGTCAGCGGGCCCCAGTGCCATTCCCACCTCTGCGTGGTGCGTCGGGCCCCTTGGACCCACCCCTGTGGCCGCGGGGACCGAGCCGGGTGGATGTGCTCTGGGCCCGGCTGCTCCGGGACACGCAGGCCCAGGTGTTGCTTCCTGCCAGAGCGGGAAGTTTGCCGCAGCCCTGGCGGCCGCTGAGTCCTGGTCTCAGCCGAGCGAGTCCGGGGGCCCGGGGGCCGGGAGGGCAGGTGCCCCACAGGGCCCGGCCCAGGGGACGCAGTGATGTCAGCCGCCCGCCCCACCCCGCAGGCCGGGTTATGTAATGGCTCCCGGGCTTCCTCGGGCAGGGACCTGTTGCCCGATGCAGGACTGGGTGTGTGTGGGGCGGGGGCGGGGGGTGTGTACTTGCTCGCCGCACACCAGGGCAGGAGGAGCCAACAGACTGGGAAAAATTCCCAGGCCTGTCCAGCCAGTGTCCCCAGCCAGGCGCCCAGCCCTGTCCCACATGCTTGTCACCCGTGCCTCCTCCCTGGGGGCAGTGGTAGCCCTCAGAGTGTCCGGGGCTGGGCGGGAGCCGGGTGGGCCTGGCGGGGTGGGTCTTTCCCCTCCTGAGGCTGGGCGGGAGTCCAGGCGGGGTCAGCGCACGAGGCCAGTCAGGCAGCCAAAGCAAACCTGAACTTTCGCGATGGTTCCAGCCACCTCCTGCCAAGGCCTGCTGACTGGAGTCTGCAGCCAGGCCCAGGCCGGGCTGGGCCAGGACCGCCCACACTGCCGGGGATGGGAGGTGGCGGCCGCGCATGGCCGCGGGACAGCCCTGCGCAGAGTTGGGACGGCAGAGTCTGGCCTGGAGGGCCCCTCCAGCGGGGGACACTAGTCTCCCTAGAAAGCCCCTCCATAGCCCCCACCCCACCTGGCTCCCTGGGCCACCTCTCCCAATATGCTCTCCTGCCATCTGTAGTACGTTGGCGGTTCCTTTCCCTGTCTTGAGGTGCGGCGAAGGCCAGGCTGCCCCTGCATGTGTGTGACAGACATAGCGCCCAGTGCCGCAGATCTGTCCCCACCGCGATACCTGTGGCCACCCATCTGTCTCAGCGCTGCCGAGCCGTGGGCCGTGGCAGGCATGTGGGGGTGGTGACCAGGTAAAGCCAGGCCCTCTGACCCTTGGGAGATCCCACGTGTGGGGACAGCCACCCTCCCGCGTCATCCTGGACAGGCCCGCGGTGGGATCACCACGCATGAGGTCGTCTGCCTTCATCCTGGACACTCCCTAGCGTGGCTGGCGGGCCTGGTCGGCGCTAACTCCCCACCGGCGGGCTGGAGCGCCCCCCACCCAGCCACCATCTGCCCTGGGCAGGCGGGTGGGGAGGCAGGAGGGGTGTGGCTCAGGCCCCCACTGCTCGCCTGTCCTGTAGGGGGGCTTCCTGGCCTCTGTCCAGGCCTCTGGCACTGGGCCCCCGGGGTCTGCTGAGGACTCTCCTAGAGTGACTTCTCTGCAGAATGACCCTCCGCCCCAGTTGTCTGGAGACCCAGAGACAGGGAGCAACTTGGCCCGGGGCGCCCAGCATCTCTAGCCTTCTCCCACTGCCGAGCCCTGCCCCCTCCACCGCCTGTGCGCCAGGCTGAGGGAGGTCAAGGGGGCCTCAGTTCCCTGCTTTTTCAGGCCCCGCCCCTCACACAAGGGGCTGGGGAGAGGTCTCGCTCACCTGCTGCTCCCTCCGTTCCCTGGGCAGTGGCCCTGACCCTTGGCTCCCCAGTGTGCCAGACCTGAACTTGAACCCAGGCCACCGCAGCCTCTCCCTGAAGGCCGTGGGTTCTTACCTGGTGCCAGGGCTGGCCAGGGGCCCTTCCAGGGGGCCTGGCGCCGGACAGGACAGTGCAGGCCATGGCGTGGGCAGGCCCTGGCACACGGGGCCCTCGGGGCCAGGGAGTGACCCACAGGCCCCTGGCCTGCAGCAGGTGCCGTGTGTGTTGTGTCAGTGACCGTGGGGGTGCCAGCAGGAGAACTCGGGGCAGTGGGGCTCTGGCCCTCAGGGGGCTGGAGGGCGTGGAGGCACAAGCCGGCGGCCTGCGGCCCTCGGCATCAGACACTTAATTCACCATCCCCTGGGCAGGGCAGAGAAGGGGAAGTCCAGAGGTACAAGTGAGGCCCAGGGAGGGCTGAGCTGCCCTGAGAGCCATGGGAAACCAGGCTGGGAGCCCTGTCCCGCACTCCAGCCACTCGCTCCCTCCCTCTGCCCTGCCGCCTTTGATCCCTGCAGCCCAGCCGCCCCTGAGGTCAGCTGGCTGCGCGGCCGCCCCAGTTCTGGGGATGAGCAAACGAGGCCCAGACATGGCTGGGCCCCAGGGTGACTCTGCCCGGCATCAGGCGGGCAGCCGCCTGCCCGTCTCTGTCCCCTCACCGCCCTCGTCCTCGGGACTCGAGGGCACCAGGCTGGGGAGGCTGGGGTCCTCACTGTGACCACAGACCCCTGCCAGTGGATCCACGCCCTTTTCAGGTTTCTTCCTCATGGCACTGGGACACTAGGGTGGGATGGTTCCCCGGGGTGGGGCGTCCCAAGCACTGCAGGGTGTGAGCTGCGTCTCTGGCCTCTGCACCCTCCATGCCAGGCGCACCCCCTGTCGTGACACCCACATGCGTCCCGTCTCCGAGTCCCCTGGGCAGGACCGCCCTGGTCAGGCCCCCCGGGTTCAAGGACTCCACGGACCCCAAGACCTTTCCTCCGTGGTCCTCTGTCCTGCAGCGGGCCCAGAGGCTGCCCATGTGGAAATCACCCCTTGAGGGGAAGGGAGAGCGGGGGTCTGGTCTGCCCGTCTGCCCCTTGGGAGTTCGGCAGGGCGCAGACTCGACCTCACGCCAATAGTGAGCACGTGGAGCCGGCGGGACAGGCCTCAGCGCCCTGGCTCTCCCCACAGGAGCAGAACCCTTTCGAGCTGGCCTTCTCCCTGGACCAGGCCCACCACGGGGACCCTGCCTTCCACCCGCAGTGCGAGACCCGCCCCGGTGAGGGCCCGAGGGGGAGGGTGCGGTGCTGCCTGTGGGAGGGGCCGGCAGG